ATATATTTAAATAAAAATACCTAAACATTTTTTAAATTTAATGGTTGATCAGGTTGGCCCAAAAATACTATCTATAATTTCCGGAAATCATACTCTTTAATTTTAATATAATAGCGAATTATTTCACCTCATTTGACATTACCGATTTAAAATAATTTTTTTTGCTGCCACAGAAATGTCAATGCATGTGCAATTACCCATTACTCATACATTTTGTAAAAAAATGTTTATAAAATAAAATAAAAATCACTGCATTTGCATAATATTAATATTTAAAATGGCTCTAACTTCCTACTACTTAATGCCGATAAAATTAGAATGCATCAAAATTTTATTAAATTAAATCTTATTTTTGTGAATATTTTACGTTTATATACCAGCGGTTTATAAGTTTGCAATCTGCTGACTGCTGGGCATGGATGAATGGCTCGAAATAAATATTATCATATTAACATGTTAAACTTTTTTTCTATCTTCTTCTATTCAACAAATAATAAGAAGTGAACTTTCTACTCCAATACTGCGCATAGAAAGTAATTTTTGTTGATATAATAATTATTTTAGGAACTTTGCATGTGCTTTTGGCATTACCATAAAGTATAAAACTATTTACAATATATTTGAATTTAGTTTTGAAATATTTTAAATTGAAAATGCCAATAGTACCGTTGCTTATATCAGACAACAGTTATAAGCAATAGTAAATACCTAAAAATATGTTAGAATTGCAAAAGGAATTGCAAAAATATGTTATAACTATTTTTAGAAAATATTTGCTTGTTTATATACAAGTGCAGCTTCATAATTTACCAGAGGAAAAAATTAAATTTAAATTGTCTCTCATTTATATATTATTTGTGACGAAATTGTTTAAGTTTGTTTGTAGCAATTTTTTCAAAATTTAAACTTCTGAAAGCTGTATTGCATAAATTGAACATTTAAGTTAATTTATTGAAACATTTAAAATATTTTATACCTTCCATATACCATTTATAATAAATTTTTTGAAAAACAACCGAAGATATCAACATCACCAAAAAACTCACCCGGTTAGAATTTACTTTTACTGTAAATCTCTCTTTATCAGAAAATATAAAATTTAATTTTATAGATCAAAGCAAAAAGTCAGATTTGTTTTCCATTATTTTTTTAATAAAAAAAATCGAGATTATGACATTGCGCCGATTCTAGTGTCACTTAAAGCATAAAGCGCAAAACGGTTTCCAGAAAAATACTCTTTTCAAAGTAGTGTGCATACAAGTCAAAAAACATTCGTTTTTTGGAGATAAGCGTGTTTGAAAAAATAGTACCTGAAGGATATAAAGTGGAGCTACACATTTTAATGGCTTATACCATTGGCATGAAAAAAAATTTTCATATAAAATTTTGGTTTTTGGTTTTCTATGAAATAAAACATTCTTTACTCTTCCGACCGTTTATATATATGGCGTCATTAAATTTTTAGATTCTTCCAAAATTCCGAACATGCATTGGAGAGCTACTTGTGTTATTTTTTCATTCAATATAATCTCCCTTAACTTCAAAATTGGGCACAATAAGAATTGGAGCCAAGAGACGTTTAAAGACCAATTTGCAAGAGAGATATGCTGCTTGAACACTACAAAAAGAAGTCGTTATGCGTCAGATTGTGCCTGGTGATGAAAACTGGATCCATTACGACAATCCTAAATGCAAAACATGATTTGTGAAACCAGGCCAATCAACCATATCTACGAAAAGCCGAAAATCCATGACACCAAGGTATGTTAATGCTCTGCTTTTGGTGGTATCAGCAAGGCGTGCTGTATTATGAACTTCCAAATTTGGATGAAACCATTAATGGGGAACACCTCGGACAACAACTCATCAAATTTAAGCGAGCAATTGCCAAAAACGCCCGGCATTTGCGACTATACGTGAGGCTTTAATTTTTCTTCTTAACAACGCTCGAATTTCGGTTGCAAGACCGGTTAAAAACAACTTGGAAATCAGCGGCTGGGAAGTTTTGTCTCATCCGTCTTATCCCTTTTGACTAGCATTTGTTCCAGTCGATACAGAACGCCCTTACTGGTAATATTAGAACGATTTGTATCAGAACAGGGTATTAAAAATTATTGTAGGAATTTACAAATTGTCATCACGATGGGAAAATGTTACAGCTTGAGATAGGCAATACTGTGTGTAATACTACTATACTCACGAATATACAAGGAGCGTTCCAAAGCAAACGGTACAAAAGTAACAAAGTAAACTCTAGTGGCGCCATCTATTTGTCGACTAGCGTTAGAATCTGCTATCCTTTATCGACTTCCAGTAAAAATTTCCTGACATTTCATCTATTGGAAGTGAAGTTATTGAGTTTCAGGTGTTAGTATGTTTTTGTCATCGGTGCGAAAATGAGCTTCGAACAAAGAGCCAACATTAAATTTTGTTTTAAAATTGGTAAAAGCTTTACCGAAACGTTTAAATCGATGAAACAAGTTTATGGCGATGATTGTCTATCCCGTAGCAGAGTGCACGAGTGGTTTCAACGTTTTCAAAGTGGTTGTGAGGAGATAAATGAGAAATGAGCCGAAACCCAAAAAATCGCGCCTGGTGACGTCAAAAGTGAAGACAATGCTGCGTTGTTTTTATGATTCCAAGGGTATTGTCCACATAGAGTTTGTTCCACCCGGCCAAAACGTTAATGCGGTATTCTACCTTGGAGTTCTGAAGAGTTTGGTGCGCCGTATTCGACGTGTTCGGCCCGAATATCGCGAAGATGGAAGTTGGCGTTTGTTGCACGATAATGCGCCGTCTCATCGATCGACGCTTGTGGCCGATTATTTGACCAAAAATCACATTTTAACAATCAACCACTCCCCGTATTCACCTGATATGGCACCGTGCGACTTCTACCTTTTCGGAGAAATGCATTTGCCGATTCAAAAGGCTTGCACCGGCATACTGGCGGCCATACCGGGCAACGAGCTAAAACACTCGTTCGACATGTTTTTAGACCGTGCAAAAAGCTCTATTAAAGCAGAAGGGGACTATTTTGAATAAAATTAAATGATTTTGCCGATAAAACCATTTGTTCTGTCTTGTTTTTGAAAGTCCTGTTTACTTTGGAACGCACCTTGTACATATATATTTGTAGACCCAATGATAAATCAACATCGAAAAAGCAAATGCAAAGCATCTTTGCTTTGAGTGAAATCAATTAATTTTAGCAGTTTCACATTTAATCAAAGGACGACAAACATACATACACACGCGCTTAAAATTTCAGCTGCGGTGAAAGTATATTTTTAAATAGCAATTTTTTATGCTAGCTATTAAAAAGCGCCGCTATAAAGTAGCACACGCCCATGAAATTGACATTGACATAAACGAAAACTATGAATCATAAAAAATAACTACCAAACGCGTTTGACGCCACATATTTTTCCAAACATTTGCTTTGGCATGCAAAATTAGAAAGTCAGTGAATGAAGTATTGGTCGCGCCGCTTTTTTGCCACTTCACACTAAATATCACCTTCATGGACACCCTGTGGCTGCGGTGAAAAAGGTAAAATTTAAAGAAAGTGCTTTAAAGTAAACAACTATTCGCAGCTCGGCTGTTGGACGCTGCAAATATCGAAAACCACGCCAAATAACATGAAATCAAATTAACGATCGCCCGTACTCGAAATAGTTTAAACCAAATTACACAAAGCACAATTAAATTGAATTAAAGACCCGCTTGAAGTGCGCCCATTTTCAAGTTCATTGTCAGCACGCTGCAATGGCAGTAAGCGACGAGACGACAACGCTAAAGAAAACAAAGAAAAACGTCCAAAAAGCGCGAGATGCCAACAAATCACAACGGACGGGCGCTTGACAAGCATGGCCACAGCAACGTCACGAGGCTGGCAAGCGTTATAAAGACCCCTTTCACGCTAACAAGCGCTAATCTTGCTTGCTGCGTCTCACTATTATTTTTGACTTCAAATTTATGAGTACGCTTCGGCAGCTGTAACGAAGCGACGAGATATGCCGTCATATGTTGCTGGGCCACATAATCCAATTATGCGTGTGAAAGCTGGAAATGCGCACATCACAAACATACATATGTAGTTACTTACATATAATATAATAGTCCAACATCTCCGAAAATATAGAATTTATGTATGCGTTAAAGCTGCGCAGAATATTTATTGAAGTCACTTCTAAAGCATCACCGACATGACGATAATTCAAAGCGACACAACATCTTTATGTATGCCACCAGATTGAAGCAAGAAGAAAACTGAAAACCGCCATCAACGATAACCAATAAGTATGAGGAATACTTAAGTTTACATACAAATAGATATGTACGGTACATATGTTGTATATTACATACATAAATAAATGTAATGCCTGCGCTTTGAAACCTAAAACTGCTCATATTAATCGCTTTTAGATGTTTTCATAGTTGTGTGTAATTATGTTGCCCATTTCTGTGTAAGAACTCGCATGTTTATCTAAACGCTTATAAGCACCCCATAGAGGACTTGTAATTGTCGCCTTAAAATGCTCTCATGGTAATTACGGCCAAAATATTGCTTTTGAGCATTAGAAATGCTGATAAGTCATTGAAAGACGCGTATGAATAAAAAATAATACCAAAGTTCATGCCGCCAATCAATTTGCTCACAGATTCGTGGAAGAAAGAGGAAAAATAAATTCATAGTAGAAAGAAAACTGCCGAGGGAACGTTTGCGTGTTCATGACAGATCGATTGCCGGGCCTTATGAAAAGAGTTTAATATTTTGTGTAGGTAAAGCAAATTTGTATTTCATATTAAGCAAAGCTTAAGTCTAGTGTACATTCTGAAATAACTTACGACTCAGTTTTCGGCCTTTGATAAAGATTAAGATCGCAAAACAATTCTAACCAGTTTGATTACAAAATGATCGGAAAAGGAAGGAACTGAAATTAATAAAGATTTCTATTGAGAAAACTATAATGTATACCTAATAGAAGATTGTCGACAATATAAGGTCTAATAGAAATACATTTATTTAGAATCGTTTGAATGATTCGATTAAGGTTAAACAACCACCGTTTTGTTCGATAAATTGTTGCAATAAGGCGTTCTCATAGAAAGCCTTGTCTCTATTGGCCGAAAACAGGGACCGTTGATTTTAACAGGCTAGGTCCGCGCTGTCCTGATTGAACATAATTCCTCTCCTCTTGGCGAAAGCTGGCCCTTTCGAGCGATACCTTTCTTCACTCAGCCCGATTGTTGACAGGTCAGAATTAAGAGTTTGATAATAGGGTAGATTCGCTGCCAATCCCATAAAATATGGTGTATAGTGATTCTTTACCATAAATCTTGACTTGACAATCGTTTGAGTTTGAGAACTGCTCCACTTTTCATCGAGAGCGCGGTACATCTTCGACATCAAACTTAGCGGAACGAAGTGGATGAAACTGAACAAGCGAGTGATTAGCTGGTACAGTATCACAACCATTAACACGATTCAGATTTTCAGTCGCCTGTCTAGGGTTTTCTTCTTTATCGAAGTAGAACTGCAAAATATGGCATATTTGTTCTTTGCTGATATTCATCTTTTGAAATTCGAAACTGTCTGAGTAGTTTTTCAGTACGAAATTATATCTATCTAACACCATTTAGCGTAACCCGATCGGTTCGACGCGAATTAAAGTTTATTGCATCCATCTATTGGAAAAATAATAGATTCCTTTTTACTGGACCTCATATATGAATATAAATAGATCGTGCTACACATTGGAATTGAAGTTTTGTCAAATATCTTAAGATTTATAATATGAGCACCCTGTTTATTGTACATAAACACAATTTTTACCGGAAAAGGCACTCTTCTTTATTTAACTTTCATAAAAGCTTGAATGCTAGCATTTAGATTAAAACCCGTTTATTTATGAGCATTATTTAGTGCCATGAGAGTCAAACGATACAAGATTTTAGAACACTACGTTGTGGCTCTCGACAGCTCTGACATTGTTCTTTTCTACTGAAAGTGAACTAAAAATTTTAAACTTAGCGTGACTCATTTCAAAATCTCACTATTTTTAGAATATTTTTATTTGTCATTAAACTCTTTCTTGTAAGAATTAAAATACTAATCAACTTTCAATTCAACATCTTAAAGATTAAAAACTAAAACCAAATAAGAAACAATAATTGAAATAAGTAAAAAATCTTGTAAAATCTTGCTTTACAACACAAGAAAACTGTCAACTTTTGTTTTCATAAATTTGTCAAACGAAACCAAAGAAAAATCATAAAAATATGAATTTGAATATTCAAATTAAATGTAACGGTCTCAACACGGTTGGCATTGACATTCGAAATTTATCGTCATCATGTCCATTGAATTACCCAAACTACGTGTCAGGAAAACCGAGCTCTACGCATGTGAATTCGAGATTAGCGCCAGAGTGCCGCGAGAGCTCTTCAACCAATTTCTGGAAAAGGAAATCAATCAGCTCGGTATCCGAGGTTGGGCTCAAGAGGTCGAAGATGGATGTGTCAAAGGTCGACTTGAGGGAGAGATCACCAAAATGGATAAACTCAAAGTTATTTTGAGAAATTCACCGCAATTCGGTTCAAAAATTATCGGTACTGTCTTTGGCGAATTGAAAAAGATCAATAAATATTCGGCAATAAAATTTGAAGTCATCTGCTAACCGTTTGGCGCGAAGAAAACAGAAAAAATACAATACAACAGCAAGTCTTAGCACATGTTACTGGAAATCTTAAATGTTTAACACACAAAATGATTCTGTATGTATGTATGTCACCTTAGATGCTTTGTTCTCTGCTGCGATTCCAACATTTTTCTATTGAGAATTACAAATAGTCAAATCTGCATTCACGTATTGTTGGTATCAAGAGCACGGAATGAAGACATGAGTTCATGTGACGACAGAAAACCATACAAACGTTTTTGTCAACAACAAAATTATCCATAGAAATAAAAAAGGAAAAATCAAATCTAATATATGTATTATGTATAGGGACGAGGTTGACAGAACTTTTGTCGAAGATTTTTTTTAATACCTGCTGTTTCCATCACTATTTTTCAGGTGTCGCTATCACTCTTACATAGTGGAAACAAATTTTGGTCTCATCGTCAGCGATTTTGGAATGGATGATACAAATGAAGTTTTCCGACAGGACGACAGCTCCGGTTAGGTCTTTGAAATAATTCTGGAGAAAGTAACTGGAACATTATGAAATATCAAATAATTATCCTGTACTTTCTCAAATGGATAAAAAAGCAAGATGAATAAGATTGGTAATGATGTTATCCGATAAGAGGAGGACTCGAAAAAAACCGTCTCCGAAAGGCTTATGGATTTAGTGTGAAGCTAATTGGAAAATGACACCCAACTGAAGTTGTTGAAATCTGAAGCCAGGACCAATCGCTTCATTATTCCTTCAACAGGGAATATTAAGTATGCCATGAAGTTTGAAACAGAAAAACATGTCGGAGACCTTATAAAATATACATATATAAATATAAAGGATCAGCGTGACGAGCTGAGTCGAATTAGCAAATTTTTGAGACATCGATCTGAAATTTGCACACGTCCCTTTTTTATTTGAGAAGACATTTTCACAAAATTTTGGCGTGGGTTATTATCCAAGACAACGGTTCAGTCCTCACACAAATTGTTCAAATCGGATTAATAAAGCATGCGGCTATCATACATACTGACCGACCAAAATCAAGTTCTTGTGCGAAAACTTTTTTATTTGTGGACGGTATTTTAGGATTGGGACAACAAAAGCCAATAACAATAAGTACTAGGCGTCATACTTCAATTTGAATGAGTCAAAATAATTTCAGTAAATTCATTGTTTTGGTAAAATAAAAACACTAAAAATTTGCAGTTATGTCTAAAGAAGAATTATTTTCGTTCGATTTCGATCTTAAAGGTCAATTTCCAAAGGAGGCAATAACCAAATTTCTGGAAACACAAGTCAATGTTCTCGGTCTACGTGGTTGGGCGAAAGAAGTGAAACCAGGTCAAATTAAGGGACACATTGAGGGCATTTTGCCAAAGTTGGATAAGTTCAAGAAAGTCATGGAGGCCGCAGAAACCTTTGCAGTACAACTATCGGAAACAGTGTTTACCGAAATGAAGAAGATTGAAAAATACACGACAGAAGCTTTCGAAATTAAGAAATAGTATAAAAAAAAGTGGGAATACTTAACGTTTTCAATTACAAGTGGCTGCCATCTGTAAAAACCGCAGATTTGAAGTTCTTGAGATTTTCTGAAGCTGTACCAATTATATGACCTTAACACAAGCAATAAAATAGAAACTTTCAACAAATCTGTTTCCAAAATTGACTAGACTATATTCCTAAAGCAACGTAATTCTTAAATAATATAATTTTTAAATTTTTTCAAACACAATTTCTCCACCAATCACCGAATTTAAAACCTCAAAAAGTTAAACAAGCTCGCCTCTTTGTTACCATGTTCCAAATTTCTGTGGGCGTATCGAAAGCGCAGTAAAATCGGCGGATATCGAATGAGCGACGCCTAACGAGGTTGTTGCAGCGCTAATGATGGCATTAATAAGTATGATTAAAGAAATTGGAGCGTGAAGTGTGGCTCTATAGTGCCACAGACATACATTCATAGCGTCCTTTAGACATCTTTAAAGTAAAACTGACTACTGGCTCATTTGTCGATTTCCTTTTGACCAAAATCTGTTATGTGTATAAGTATCTGTGCGTATATTCATACTCCTTTTTACGACTTAAATAATGTGTTTAGGTACTTAAGTCGTCTACTGTGGCTGCCTGTGGGTCATTTGGTAATTCATCTGTTGACTTACTCTTCGCTCAACGGAAGGCATTCTGTTGACTGCCCAGTTATTGGCCGCTAACTGGTAGTTTTCCTTTGAGACAGTGGTAGTTAACAGTTTTTTTTTCCTGTTTGAGTTTCGCAAATAACAGCATACTCTCCGTTTTTTTTTTTTTTTTGGTTTTTATTCTTTCACTTTTCTTCTGATCTTCCGCTTTGTGCTTCCAAACTCATTTCTCGTCCATTTACTGCTTATCGGCGAGTTAAAGAGCGCGCTTATTCATTTTTATTGTACTTTGCTCACTTTCCTTTGACACATCATGAAATTTTCTTGCAGCATTTTGACATTGGCCGAGATAACATAGTTTTTATGGAATTGTTTGACAAGTTTTTCTATGATTGTTTTTTCTTCTTTGCGTTCAGTTTTTACACATTTTTGCACAGTTTGCAAGTTATTGCTGCAAGATAAATGTGTGCACTATCTTTATTATGTTTTTAGCCACTTTGCAGTTGTTTTATTGTCCATTTTTTCCGTCTAGTGTTCCCTAGAGGTATTACTTTCGTCAGGTCTGGTTAGACTGTGCAGATAGATGAGTCAAGGGAAACAGTAAATTAAACAATATTAAATATTATATTATGCCAGTATTAGTAGTTTTTCCAATAAACTATGCGGTTAAATGTTGGTTACAATTTTGGTTGCGGGAATCGTATGTAGCAAGAGATGTTATGACAAAGTTGTCTACATTTCTAAAGCAGAGCTACATTATACAATACAAGTATACTATTAGTTTTTGATATTAAATTTCGAGACGTCAGATTATCAATCATTTGGTCCAAAGACATTTTTAAACGAAGGGATTTTGGTGCAAATATCATAACTATTTTTTTATATCAAACTATAAATAGGAGCCTTATAAGACATATGGGAGATTGCATAACGGTAATGTGGTTTACTCTAGTGCTAGTGGTGAGCGGTATTTCACTCTCAGTAATTTTTTCACTGAGATTAAAAAATCGCATATGGCAACTGCGATCACTTTTTGTAAATAGCAGTTCACTTCAATGAATTGCAATTGCGATAGCAGTTCACAATAAACTTGTGAAATTGTGATTTTTTAACAGCATAGTTTAATAAGGTTACTCGTGATCGCAATAACAGAATAGAATAATAGCATAAACGTAGCAGCTTTCTTCAAGCTATTGCAAATGCGTCTATGTTATTTTTCGTTAAAGCGGTTTTAGCGGGTTGCGATTTTTTTTATTTAATTCCCGATGTTGGGATTAAAATACACTTCTGTATCGAAACTCTCAATATCGAGAGCAGTTATCGAAGTTCAGATGTACTTGGAAGGTGGAGTCATTGGCCGAACAGAAGATTCGTTGCGATGGTGGAAAACAAATAGTTATAAGTACCCACCAATTTCGCGGGAAAAATTATGACGCTTAAAATCATCAGTGCCTCCTGAAATGTTATTTTCTACGGCCGGTATAATGTTAGGCGAAAATCGAACGCATTTGGACGATGAAAAGTCCGAAATGTTAATATTTTAAAATGCAAATGTTAAAAACATAGTTATATAAGTTTAGCCGTTTTAAGAAGTAACCAGAAATTGTAACTGTTTATGGAATTTTTAATTAAATTAAATTCTATTTTTAATTTTAAAACCAAATTTAAAAATTCGTGTTTTAGTTCGCAATAGCATTATAAAATCACAGTGATTTAAAAAAAGCAATCACTGAAATCACAGATACCGAAAAATCGCAATATCGCTCATCACTATCTAGTACTATTTTTTTTTTTTATTGAACTATATATGTATTGCTTATCAGAAAATAATTTCATGATGAGACGAAATGCACGATTTTATAATATTACTTGAAATTATTACCACCCCATTAATTGTGTAAAAAGAGAAAAAAAACTCTCATTATATAAATTGCATGTCTCCTATAATTTTCTATTTTCTAATCAATTAAGAAAAATGATGAGAATATAGAAGTCACTGACAGCAAATGGACAAATTCCGAAGTTGTCCAAAAAAGTGGGCAAATATTAAGAAAGTTAACATGATGGAAAAGATGAATCCTTATCAGTTAATCTGCGTATAGAACACCTGCACTTAATTACAAATTTCTAATTGGAAGAACCATATAACCCATAATAACCCACTTGTTCTGAATCGATTACTGAGGACTCTCTGAACAAACGGCAAAAATTCCCAACATTCTTTAGAACAAAGAGCAATGGCTTTCCAAAGTGTTAAATTTTGTTTTGTGCTTGAATAAAATATATTCAGTCCTGAATCAAAAAGGCCTTAATCACCCTGAATTAGAGGGTGACAAATTTTTTTTTTGTAAATTATAATCATTAACTCTTTCGACTCAAAACGTTCCCGGCCCCTGACCATATATCAATAAAAGACGAGTCATCATATTTCAAGTAAAAGCGAGCTTCTTGGCAACGGCATTGGCATAAAGTTTTTAGCACAAAAATTACTTCATAGACCTTTCTTATTATAATCTAGACTTGATATCTAATGGCTTCTCGCCCTGTAAACAACTATCTCTTAAAAGAGATTGATTCACTGAAAATACAGCTTGTTCTCAATGATTCTGAATAAAATTCTTGGAAAATTGTCTCAAATACTTATGGTATATATATATTAGGGTGGGTCTAAAAGATATCTCGTTTCATAGATTTTACAGAAAATTCTGACACATCAAATTAATTAATTTTAAGATATTAATGGTTGAAGTTTGATTATTTTAAGACACATTTTTTTCTTATGGATTTTAAAATTCAAAGAAAAAAAACATTTCAAATCTCATATTTTTGCATGAATTTAACTGCTCTACCAATTGGTCTTTTGTAATTTTTAGATTAATTGGTTTAACTATTAGTTAAGAATTTACGAGGTATCCATCGTAAAAAATCAACGAAAAGCAATAAAAAAAAAAATTAAAAAACAACAGACCATTTTTGTAAAATATCTATGAAACGAGATATTTTTTCAAGTAGTTCGAAGCGAGATATAAATTGTTCTATTTGATGATTAGAAAAAATATATAAAACTGAAAGGCGGAGGACCTACCCATTACAATTTAGACCTCAAACCTGGAGAGCTTTTCATAGATGTGTCTAAGAACCTTTTTTTTCAGAGAAACAAGCGAATATAAAATATTCGTTTTTTTTCCCGCCCTAATATAATATGTAAGATATATTGATTGTATAGATCAACATAAAATATATATATATATTATAAAAAGTAGCAAACTATATATATATAGATATATAAACCCGAACTCTCATGATTACCTTTGTGAAAATCTAGCTGGGATTTTGAAAAGTACAAGAGGCCTACTGATATGTGAAATCCGTTGTTTGCCATCAAGTTTCTCAACTTCTTACTTCATTCGAGGAAATCTATGATATGCCTCAGAATGTGGCTAAAACTGATATTAAATCAAAATGTTGGGAAAAATAGCTTTTATCAATTTGTTTTATTCAAACTCCAAAGTTAAACTAAAAAAAAAACAGGTTTATTATACCCTCCACAGGTTGTATATGTAAAGTGTGTATACCATATATGCCGCACAAACTGAACGACAAATCTTTTTATGTCATTTTATGCTATAAGAAATGTACCTGTGAAGGGTAGTATAGCTTCGGTGCAGCTGAAGTTAATGTTTTTTCTTCTCTTGCCTATCTTTTACTTTGGAAATTACTATCACTATTGTAATATTCCTAGCGCTTATTTGTGCTTGGTCTTATTACTAAATACATTTCCTTTATTTTTTCTTGGTAATTAAGTTAAGTTCTAAAACAACGGCGGAAACATCACACGGAAACTCACACCTTAAACAATTTGTTCGCTCTACTTTATTGCTCACCATGGTACCTTCTCTCACAGGCATTACATAGGAGAGTAGTAATAACTTAAAAAGAGAGTGCGCACAGGAAATATTTATGAATATCACCAAAAGTGTCGAAAAATTACACATAAATATAATTTTACAACAAAAATGTTGGATGGTAAATGCGACACCCCTGCACAGGAAATTATGTTTTTTTAGCATATTTTCTTTTTATCGCGCTATATTTTTCTTCCAAATTCATGCCTTTCTATCACTCATACCATTTTTTTAGGTTTTGTTGTCTTTTACTACAATTTTGTTTATTATTTCGAGTTTTCTACAAATTACTGGTTGTTTTGTTGTGCTTCAGCCACCATTGTTACCAAGTTATCATTTGCTGCCGTTGATGTGATTATGTGTTAGTTTACCAATGGTGTTGCATGTATTTTTACACCGATTTCAGCTTCCGTCGTGAAAAGTGCTTCCTCTTTGCTGTAAAGCAATTTCATCTTAGACCAGCAATCATGCACGCTTCACTCATGATTTGTTGTTTGCCTCGATGTTGGTGGTAAAGATTTCATTTTCACAACTCATTAAAATAGTTGCCAACAATTACCCTGTGATTATACATTTTATTATTATTACTTTTTGGTTTTTTTCTTTACGAATGCCCTTAATA